TGGTTGAGGATAATGAAAAAAGGCTTAGGTATAGAGAGTGGTGAATAACTTGTGAATGTATTTAGTACCCCTTTATTGTAAACTTAATGAATGATTAAACTGATAAATATTTCCTTATAAATATTTTACCACAAAAAAAGTTTGCACCACTCTTTTCGTCTCTGGATTTGCTTCCAGGTCACTCACACTCCATCTGCCAGTCTTCATCCTGGCCCTTTTGATGTAGGCAAGCAACATCTACTGTACCCCACCTGTGGCCAGACCAACAGCAATTGTAGGAGGCCATTTAGATACATCCCAGTTTCAGAGATGTAAAATGTGGGAAAATGCATACTTCAGCAACGAACCAAGGTTCAGGGATTTGGGATAGAGTTAGGTGTCACTGTTTAAAGTCAGAAAGGACAGTAGTAAGAATAGATACTGAATAGATCACTCATGTGATCCTGAGATCATTCATCTGGGACGTAGAAAGCAAAGCAGCAGACACAAAATTAGCTGATTTAGATTAGTAGTCAGCTAAATTAGAGCTCAATGCCAGAGCCACAAAACAAAGAATGTGTGTAAGCGTTTTGGCACGTTAGGGTGAGGGTTAGGGTTAGGGTTTGGACTAGGATCAGGGTTCTCTTAGGGTTAAGGGTAGAGTTAGTAAAATATATACTATGAATATATATGAAATAAACAGATATTAAATATATAATAAAATAATAAATTTATTATTATATAAATTAATAAATATAATATAAATTAATAAATTAAGCAAATAATAAACAGACAATAAACAGAAGGATGCTTATTTCTTATCCTAAATTTTTATTTCCTTATACTATACTTTCACATACATTATCTCATTTGATTTGAGTCTCTGTGGTAAAAATGATCCCCGTTCAGCGAGGAGGAAAGCTACGGCTTGCAGCTCAGCACTTCCTTAGCAGCACATATCTGGTGAGAAGCAGAATCAGATTCCAACTCTTATGCACCTCCAATGCCCAGGGCTTCTCAGCTTTACCACAGGAAATACTATATCATCTGCTATCGTTGAATATGAGAACCATTGTGTGATTTAGTTCTCTGAGCCCAGATGAACAAAAGATATGCACTTGAGTAAGTAGAGATACTCTAGAATTCATCCTTGTCTGTTGGATTTTCAACTTAATTAAGTCAATTACCAATGTCCCATTAGGAGTGGTCTAAATGATCACAGTGTTCCTAATATGCCAACCGCTCAGGTAGGCAGATATGTAATGTCAAGAAATGGATTTAGTCATCTTGCTCAGCACTGAAGAGCTGAGTGGCATCAGGTTTCATAGCAATAACCTCTTGAGGACCAGTTTTCTCCTTTCTAAAGAGGGATAATATTACCCACATTGTGGCACTGTTGTGAAATTGGAAATAATGTGTGTAAAATATCTAGCACAGTATCTGGGGAAACGGTAGGTATTAGTAACAATATTTACTCAATGGTTTTATCTTTACTCATAATGAGACTACATTGACCCAGTCAATTCTATATTAAAATAATCTGCTTCCCACAATTTAAATTCATATGAAAAATAACTGCACATTTGGTGCAACATAGCATGGTGGCTAAGTCTTAATTATAAATAATCTTAACTGGACTAATTACCAGCTGTGTGATGTTAGGCAAGTTACTTAACTTCTTTGTTACTCAGTTTCCTCAAAATAACATGGGAATAACAGAATCTATCTTGTAGGATTGAGGTGAAAATAAGTGAGTTAACATTTGTTTTGTTTTGTTTTGTTTTTTCATTTTAATTCCAGTATAATTAACATACAATGTTATATTAGTTTCAGGTGTATAATATAGTGATTCGTTAATTCTAAACATTACTTTTACATGGAGCTGTCTAGTTTTCCGAACACCATTTGTTGAAGAGACAGTCTTTTTCCCATGGTATACTCTTTCCCAAATGAGTTAACTTTTGTAAAGAGCTTAGAATATTGCTGGCACATAGTAGGGGTATGTAAGTCTTTGTTTAAATAAACAAACTTTTCTATAGGCTTTAACACATGTCATTTTCAAATAAATGATTGACAGCAATAAGTGAGATAATATTCCTAACAAGGGGAACAATTTTTACTTTACTAATCCACATGATTCTTAATGCACAGCTAAAGAATGGCATGCATGGTTCAGAAATGAAGAAATAAGTACCAGTTTACACATCTAAATAAGCGCCTAGTTCACGGATCTGGGGATGCTTGATTGAGGGAGAAGCTAGGTCCTTTATGACATTTCCTATTCTGCAGAAGGTGTATACCATGAATCTTTCCCCCACGTCCAGCCCAGAGGTACCTGCAACCATTTATCAGAGTCACAGAGCAAGGGATAAGGGAAATACCTAGTGCATTTGAGGGTCACCAGACATTATGAAGGTAATCCCCAGAGCCCCCAAATACCACCACCATGGTCTCCAGTCAGAATGGGGCTTATGGAAATCAGGTGATAGATGAAGTCTTCACCCAAGTCCATTTAACAGTGCATCTGATGAGATAGAAGACTGATCCTATGATCATTTCCTTACTTCACAGAATATATAATGCAGTTAAAGATATTTAGTATCTAGCGGAATCCCCGTATCATTTACAACCCATGGAGTAAGTGCTATTATACTAGAAAAGCAAATAGAGGCCCTTGAAACTGACCACCTTGCTACCCCCCCCCCCCCACTGTCTTTGTTCTACTATCCTCAAGAGGGTCAAACAAAAGCAGTCCCACATCTCTAGGTACCTGCAGAGGTTGGGGCTATTTAACTTACTCCTTCAGTTAGCAAAAGCCAAATGAGTATTAGAAGATGACTGCGGGTTATTGCAAACTCAATTTTCTGGATGTGGTATCTTAACTGGAACAAATAAACATTGTGCTATTGACATTAAAAACAGGCTCTCCAATTTTTATCAGTGAAGATAATCAGACCCAGTTTGCCCTTTACTCAGCAAGAGATTGCGATCTTCCACTGTCGTGCAAACTCCCCTCCTTTCTTAAATAACGTAGCCCAGAGATCTTGATCATCTTAATGTGCAAGACTGGTTAGGCAGACAGGGTTCTGGCCAGAAACAGATGGCATACTCATATTCGACAATTTAGGAAAGTTTAATAAAGGGACTGTTTACAACAGTGAGGGGATGGGAAACACAAAGTCATTACCACTCTTAGATTCTGTACCGGGTTGAATGGTGTCTGCCCCAAATCCCTGTCCTTCTGGAATCTCAGAATATGAACTTATTTGGAAATCGAGTCTTTGTAGATACAATCAAGTTAAGATGAGATCATACTTGCTTAGGGTAGAATCTAACCCAGTATGACTGGTGTCCTTCTGAGAAGAAAGCACTGAGGGGCAAACAGAGAGGTCAGGGAGATGGCCACGTAATTCTGGAGGCAGACATGGGAGCGATGCAGCTACAAAGCAGGAATACCAGAGACTGTCGCAAGGACCTCACACTAGAAAGAAGCATGAAACAGATTCTCCCTCAGAGACTCTCAAAAAGCAACCAATCTTGCCTATGCTGGGATTCTGGATTTCTACCTCCAGAACTGTGAGAACAAATTTCTCATATTTCATCGAGCGGGTTGTGGTACTTTGTTACAGCAGCCCGAGCAAACCAGTACGGACCTGAATGGACAAGGAGTGGGTAGTTATGGAAACTCGGAGGGAGTAGCTATAGGGGGAGGAAAGGGCGCCCTTCGATAAATGGGTGCAGCCAATTTTCTGCAACATCATGGGAAGGGAGAATAAGACTTTGACCTCAAACTCTCCCCATCTCTGGTCAGTGCCCCCAGCCAAGCTGAACTGGGAGCCAGAGGGCAAGGAGCATATTGGGGAAATCAATCAGTCAGCCTCATGCCACACAAATGGGAGAGAAGAGTGGAGGCTGCACATCTAAGGTGGAAATGGAAAATATTCTGCACCGGGTATAAGATGCTAATTGTGGAACTCTGGCTAAATTTTTTGATGTGAAAAATGGTATTGTAGTAATGTAGGAAGAAAGAAAGAAAACATGCACATTATTTACCAGCAAAATATGATCTATAAAAGTATTCTTTAAAATATTTCAGTTTAGGGGCGTGTGGGTGGCTCAGTCAGTTAAATGTTGGCCTTTGGCTGTGGTCATGATCCCAGAGTCCTGGGATTGAGCCCCATGTTCAGCAGGGAGTCTGTTTCTTCCTCTCCCTCTGCCCCTCCCCCCATTCATGCTCTCTCTCAAATAAATAAAATCTTAAAAAAAAATTCAGCTTATTAAAAAAGTGGGAGAGAGAGACAAGATTGTCAAAATGGCACTGATTGCTGAAACAGGCTGTACATTAATACTGACTGTTATTGTCTCAGTCTGTGAAATTTTCCATGATAAATATTACATTGAAAATTTTAAAATAAGGTTTCCCAAGCAATGTAGGAAAAACCTGTGCTTCAGTGGAAAACTATGCACTGTGTGGACTCTAGATGACACCCTCTGGATTATTGGATTCTGATTTTATCTGAGCTATGTCACAACTTTATAAATTGTATGTAACTGATAGCAGGACAAGTAACTCTTGTCTAAGAACATGTAAATTCTGTCCTACCTGTTAGAGTTTCAAATGGCCTCCCTCCCGCACTGTGAAAGCAGTTAGTCTTGCCCCTGTTTGCACATTCATTTCAACATTTTTTATTCTGTATGAATGTATGCTGTTTTGATGTCTCCTTTGAACCTGTTATAACATCTCCCTGGTTCCCTGCTCACAAGTTAAATAAAAGTTCTAACACATGTTCACTTTTATGTGTGCTGGAATCATAATTTTACCCCTTCTTGAAAGTTATCTCTTAGCAGTGTAGTATTTATGTCTTTCTTGTGAAGCTGAAAGTAAAATAAATGAATTGGTATACTTATGAATGATTGTGTGTTAATGAATAATTAATTGTAAAATATTTTCAGAGTAAATTGTAAGCTAGTTGTACAAATGTTAACAAACTTTTCCTCCATAATTTTGTTTCTCATACCATTAATTCCAAAAACCCTCTTGGAATCTTTGTACCAGAGGTCTAGATGGATTTTCAGTAAACATGAGAGCTCACTAAAGTGAAATATGAGCATAGCAAGTTTGAAAACACTTCAAAACAAAAACTGAGTCACATCTCCCGAAAATCTGTTTAAGAAATCCAAAATTTTAATACAGACCCAAGATACATTGTTGAAAGACACAAGCACAGTCTGCATTATTTAACAACAAATAATCAAGTTTTAGGGCAGGAGTCTCACCTTCTATGTCTACACCACTGCTCCAATTTCTTTTCTTTCTCTTTCCTTTAACTTGGCTATCTTTTCTTCAACGGAACTAACTGCAGACACTGGAATTTCTCCACATTTTGTTACAGATATCCACTGCTACCAATTGTCACCTCTTGAATATTTAGGAGCCATTTCTCCTGGTCATCTAGGCTCTATGTTGGTTCCATTTTCACCGAGTTTAATGGCAATCAATCGGTCACTGTTCTTTTGTGTTTGTCTTATAAGAGTTTCACAGATGCAGAAATAACACATTTGGACGTCATGCCCACACATGGCACACCTCCAAAAAAGGATACTACAGCTATGTCCATGATCTCTTGCTGAACTTTCTGCCCACTCTCAAAAAAGCAGATGCTGATTTCTAAGAATAAGTAGAAAAATGTGTTGAAACAATTTTGGAGAAGAACATGCTGTATATACGCTCTTAATTCACTTTTAAACACTTTAGACTACTAGAGAAGACTGGCTTCCCTTGTATTTGTATTATCCAGAGCTCTGAGTAAAGCTTTGCATGATCTACCCCTTCCTCACCTCTTCCGGGTGTTCATTCAAACATTCCATTGAGGTGCTATCCCCCTTCATCGCTTTGTTTCCCCATAGCAATGATCACCATCTCTCATGCCATATTTTATCACTTTTTTTAAATCTTGTTTATTGCCTGTCTCCCTCCACAAGAATGAAAAGTCCCTGAAGACAGGTGTTTCTGCTTTGTTCACAGGTTACCCTCTGCACCTTGAACAAAGTCTGGAAACAGTAGCAATTCAGTAACTATTCTTTTAATGAAGGAAATGCCAGTCCTTCTCACCACTCTCTCTCTCTTTTTTTTTTTTTTAAGATTTTTAAAATTTATTTATTCGACAGAGAGAGAGAGACAGCGAGAGAGGGAACACAAGCAGGGGGAGTGGGAGAGGGAGAAGCAGGCTCCCTGCCTGCCGAGCAGAGAGCCCGATGTGGGGCTCAATCCCAGGACCCTGGGATCATGACCTGAGCGGAAGGCAGAGGCTTAACTGATTGAGCCACCCAGGTGCCCCTCACCACTCTCTCTTAAAGGCAAAGATTTGGCTTTATTTGTTTGTGCAATTCTAGCATTTACCTGGCACATGGTATATATTCAGTAAGAATTAGTCTCATGGATTCCCCTGGGAGACTCAGGTCAATTCTAGGATAGCTGCAATTGGTACAGATCAAGAAAAGCCTAATTTAGCACCCGTTCTGGTTTCCACATCATTTCCCTGATTCATCATTACCTGGGATGACTTAGACGAGGTCATCCATCTTTAGACTGTCCATTGAAAGACTAGACACGGTGGTGCAGGGTCATGGAGGAAGTATATGGTGTTTACAACTTTTTTTTTGGCACTTGCTAGACATTCATTTGTATGTGTCACTAACAGGATAAAATGCCAAGAACCGAGAAGACTGCCTGGATTTGGTGCAAGGGGCTCAGAGTATTGAGTTTTTAATGTGGCATTATGGCATGTGTATTTTAGAAACCACTGTGATAATACAGTTTGGGGTGGGAAGTCAGCTTGGCGCTTTAATAAGAGTAAGGAGGAAGCTTTAGTAATGAGTCGGCCACAGTGCCATTAACTGGTTGTCCTAAGGCTCCTTCCAGGTCCAAGATGAAAAAGAAAGGAGAAGGAAGGAAGGAAGGAAGGAAGGAAGGAAGGAAGGAAAGAAGGAAGGAAGGAAGGAAGGAAGGGAGGGAGGTGAGAAGGAAGGAAAAGCAAGGAGAGAAGGAGGGAGGAAGGAAAAGAGAGAGGAAAGGCGGCAGGAAAGGGAGAAAAAGACGGAAACATTTGTTCTAGCAGATTGTGTGTGTGTGTGTGTGTGTGTGTGTGTGTGAGAGAAAAACGTCCCAACTCATCGCTCTCAGTGTAGGCAAACTTTCTGACGTCTTCCCTTTGACGGTGAACACCGCGACTTCCCTCACTGAAGAAGGAGAGGCTCGGGTTACCACCCCGGGTTTCCAGAAGGAGTTGCACCGTGGGGACACCACGTGGGTCCAAGCGCGGGCCCACCCACTCGCGGGGGCGAGAGGCCCGTCGCGGCCCGGCGGGGCGGGAGGGTGGGTGTGCGCTGGGCAGCCGCCACCGGAGGAGGGGCCGGAGGGTGGCGCGGAGCCCGCGCTTTTCCCCGCCGCCCCGATGAAGTTGGCGGGGGACAGCGCGGGGCGGGCATGGCAGAGCTGCGGCCGGGGCCTGCGGCGGGGCTGCAGCTCAGCGCGCTGCCCGACCACTCCCCGCTGCTGCAGCCCGGCCTGGCCGAGCTGCGGCGCCGAGCCCGGGCGGCGGGCGCTCCGCCGCCGCCGCTGCCGCTCACCGACTCCTTCCTGCTGCGGTTCCTGCGCGCCCGGGACTTCGACCTCGACCTGGCCTGGCGGGTGAGCACGCTTCCCCGCTGCGTTCCCCCGCGCGGGCAGGGCCGGGGGCCAGCGCCGTGGCCAGAGCTCTGGGAAGTCGCGAGTTGCCTGCGAGCCTTGGCGGCTGGCTACGCGCCCTCCTAACGCACCGGCGGCGGGCGCGGTGGCTGCAGGTGTTCTGAGCACTCCCGCGCCGCTCCTTCCAGTTTCTCGGAGTCACGGAAAGAGGAAACCTAGAAAAAGCTGGAGCGCCCTGCGGTGATGGCCCGTTTGACCCCAAACGCTGGAACTGCGCTCTAGATGAGTCTCCGAAACCTATCAAGTTTTTTTGTTTTTGTTTTTGTTTTGTTTGTTTTTTTGGGTGGGGGGAGAATAGGGATGTCTTTCCTGTCCCTGGCCCGACGCCAGCGATGTAAAACAGAGTAACAGCTTCGAAGTAGGAAACCTAGATTTATCACATTTTAGCAGATCACTCCACCTGTGGTGGGAAAAATGAAGTTGCCAGTAAAACGGAAGGTCTGAAGCCAAATTCTAGCAAAATAGTGCCATTATTAATAATACTTAAATGTCAGGACAGTAAAGCGGTCCAATATATTTTGAGTGGAAAGGTGCGGGATGAGGTGGTTCTTTTGTGTTTCCAGGTATGTTACAGATGGTTGAAGAAGGGGTGATAGGAAAACAGGGACCAAAAAAGAGGGATGTAACCTTGAGTTATGTCACTTTGGGCTCAGCATCCACTTCTGTTAAATAAGGGTGAGAAAGCCTACCTCACTGATTCTGAGGATTGAACATTAACCAGTTTAGCAGAACAACACGTACCCAGCACAGAGCCTGACAATATAGTAAGCACTCAGCAATTGAACCTGATCTAGCCCTTCGGCCAAGGGGCTTCCTCGGTGTCATATTGGGAGTGGGAGACAGGGAAAGTATACCAGTGCAGAATCATAACATGACCCAGTATGAGTTTTTGTTGTTGCTGTTGATAACTAATTTTTAATTGAAAAAGTAAAGAGCATGGGTGATTTTTTTATGAACAGTAAAGAGTGCAAAGTAAGTTTCTAAAAGTAACTGTATAAAGGAAAAAAGTTCCCCACCCCAAACCTTCATTTTGCTGGTCCTCTACTCAGAATCAGTTACTGTTACCTGTTTATCTTTCTAGGTATAGTCTGTGCTCACACAAGCATATGTATGTGTTTTACATTTGGCCTTGTTTGTTTGGTTTTGGTTTTTGTTTTTTGTTTTTACCTAATTTATCATAGAGATCAGCCTAGTTCAGTATGTGTTCATAAATCTTATTCTTTTGGGGGGCTGTGTACTATTCCATTGTATGGATTTATTATATCTAAATTTATTAACCAGTCCCCTGTTATTAGATAGAGGAGTTATCCTCAGCCAATGGCAATGCCCACGCATGCTGTTCTTTCCTTCATTCAGTGATTATTTTTTGAACTCTTACAATTTGCCTGGCTGTACACAAAATGCAGTAAACAAGACAAATGGGATTTCTTCTATCACCAACTGGATATCTCTTTATATATTTGTCTTTGTGCAAAAATAGGAGTAGTATCTCTTTATACATTTGTCTTTGTGCAAAAATAGGAATATATCCTTACAAGTTCAACCTGTAAAGTTCCTGGATGAAGTGAGGTATGCATTTTCAGGGTTGATGAATGTAACTGTCCTTCAAAGCATTTGCACTAATTTTATCACTTTTATATTACAAATTGTGCCTTTTTCTCCATATTATCACCTACACTGTACTATCAAACATTATGATCTGTGTCAGCCTGCTTGGTGAGCAATTGGTTCTCATTATAATATGCATTTGTTTAATTAAAAGTGAGGTTGATCATCTTTCATATATTTAAAATTTTTAGATTATTTTCCAGTTAGCTGTTTTTGCAGTTTGTTAATTTTCTTCCATTTTGTTCACATAAAATATACATATACATTTTTTACTCATAAAATATCTTTATGTATTAAAGAAAATAAGCCTTTGCCCTAGTTTGTTGTCTTTTGACATTGCTTGTACTATTTTTCTTTTCTGTGCGGACTTTAAACATTTTTATGTAATCACATGTATCGATTAGATTGTTCTTTGATTGTTTCTGGGTTTTATAAGCTCTTCTCCTCTCCAAAATTTTCTCTAGTAATTTATGATGTCTCTTTTTAATGTTGGAGTTGCTAACCTACTGGGATTTATTTTGATGTTAGGAATGAAATAAGAATCTGACTTTATTTTTGTTTCGTCAGATGGCTACTCAGGTATCCCAACATCATGGGTAATAAACTAATATTTACTCAGCAACTACTAAATATAAAGACAATCTTAGGTCCCATGAGGAGTGCAGTTTAAATGAAACATTAAACATATAAATGTGTAGAGATCACTAATAATAAAAAAGTGTATGATTTACTGATTTCATTTTAGCTGCTTTTCAAAAGAATGTCTAAACACAAGAAGGAATAAAAGTTACCTCCAGCAGCTGTTATATATATTGTTTTCTGTATTCTTTATTTTCCTGAATTGTTTTCATTTCACCATGTCCTTGAGGAATTGGTTAGCAAGACTGTCTAAATCCACTGGATAGGGATCAAGTTTCTGTTTGTGAACTCTTTGCCTTACTTTTCTGCCAACTGGAAAGGAAAGGGAAAGGCTTAGAGTGTGAAACTATTTTTTTTTTCAGTTTCCTCCATAAAGGCAGCTAATTTAACTCAAACCCCCTTATTTATAATATAAAAGCCCTATAGTTTTAGTATATGAAGAAAGCTTGATAAGCCCCTCAGTTACAATGAAATTTCTCATTATTCTAGTTTTTGTATTTGAAGATACAGTGAATTAATGAGGTTTTTATGATTCTAAAAGTTTATAGAGTACCAAGTATTTGGGTAAATAGTGTTTGTGTGGATCATCTCATTATTTTCTCATTTTAGAAGAAACTGAGATGCAGTTTCTAGTCCAAAGTCAGGTATTAAGTGGTAGAGGAGGGATTTGAACT